CAACGCCACTGACAGACCTAATAGAAATGCTGGACACCAGCAGCGACAGAACTGGAAGAGAAATGAATAGAAATGCTACATGGGTAACGGAAAAGGGCGGACACCAGCAGTGCAGGGCTGGGAGACAAACGAATAGAACCAGCAGAAAAGGGCGGACACCACCAGTGACAGGCCTGGGAGACACATGAATAGAAATGCTACATGGCCAGCGGAAAAGGGCGGACACCAGGAGTGACAGACCTGGGAAACAAATGAATAGAAATGCTGCATCGCCAGCGGAAAAGGGCGCATGGCCAACGGAAAAGGGCGGACACCACCAATGACAGACCTGGGAGACAAATGAATAGAAATGCTACATTGCCAGCGGAAAAGGGCGGACACCAGCAGTGACAGACCTGGGAGACAAACGAATAGAAATGCTACACGGCCAGCGGAAAAGGGCGGACACCAGCAGTGACAGACCTGGGAAACAAATGAATAGAACTGTTAAGTGGCCAGCGGAAAAAGGGGGACACCAGCAGTGACAGACCTGGGAGACAAATGAACAGAAATGCTGCATGGCCAGCGGAAAAGGGCGGACACCACCAGTGACAGACCTAGGAGACAAATGAATATAGATGTCGCATCGCCAGTGAAAAAGGGCGGACACCAGCAGTGACAGACCTGGGAGACAAATGAATAGAAATGCTACACGACCTGCAGAAAAGGGCGGACACCACCAGTGTGACAGACCTGGGAGACACATGAATAGAAATGCTGCATGGCCAGCGGAAAAGGGCGGACACCAGCAGTGACAGACCTGGAAGACAAATGAATAGAAATGCTACATGGCCAGTGGAAATGGGCGGACACCAGCAGTGACACAAAGGGCGGACACATCTTAAGAAAGAATTGAGAACCCCTATATAACAGTAAACAGTTGGGGGAAAAAGTGGGAGACAAATGCAAGGAAGTGGGAGACAAGCCGGCTGGAAACCCCAGGCACCCAGCCTGGGAGACAAATAAAAGGAAATGGGAGACAAATGCAAGGAAGTGGGAGACAAGCCAGCCGGAAAGCCAGCCGGGAACCGGACCACAAGCACCCAGCCTGGGAGACAAATGAAAAGAAGTGGGAGACAAATGAAAAGAAGTGGGAGACTAATAAAAAGAAGTGGGAGACAAATGAAAGGAAGTGGGAGACAAGCCAGCCGGGAACCCGACCACAAGCACCCAGCCTGGGAGACAAATGAAAAGAACCGGGAGACAATTGAAAAGAAGTGGGAGACAAATGAAAAGACCGACTACAAGCACCCAGCCTGGGAGACAAATGAAAAGAACTGGAAGACAAATGAAAAGAAGTGGGAGACAAGCCGATCCAGCACCAAGGCGACCATTCTTTAAAGCATTGAGAACCCCTAACACTAAACTGTTTGGGGAATGAATAGAAATGCTACATGGCCAGCGGAAAAGGGGGGCACCAGCAGTGACAGACCTGGGAGACAAATGAATAGAAATGCTACATGGCCAGCGGAAAAGGGAGGACACCAGCAGTGACAGACCTGGGAGACAAATGAATAGAAATGCTACATGGCCAGCGGAAAAGGGCGGACACCAGCAGTGACACAAAGGGCGGACACATCTTAAGAAAGAATTGAGAACCCCTAACAGTAAACTGTTTGGGGAACGAAAAATGCCTAATCAGATTGCTTTTCAGAAGCTTTATAAACTTCTATGAAGGTACTGTAATCTTCAAATCCAATGCCCCTGCCAGTACTTAGCTTGCGCACCCCAGAAAAGAGGTGGCTGATCTAGTCCAAAGAAACTCGCGATGAATCTCATTGCACTCTGATACAACCTGTGTCTACTGTTGGGCCTCATCTGGGAGCCGCATGTCATCCATCATCCTGCTGCGCAGGTTTAGTGAAGGATTGTTACCCACTCTCTGCAATCAAGGCAGCAAACAAAAAGCAAAGGATCTTGGTCAGCAAAGCACTGCATTTTTCAAACACCACAGAGCCCCGAAATTCGCGGGGGATCTGTTTGTGCGGAACTGGCCATCCGCAATCACCCTCTCCAGGTCACACCTGCTGGTCAGTACTTCGTCAACGAACCATGCCAGCCGGACTCTGCATCGGTTTTGCCAGAGGGCGGCCGATTCGCGGCTTTCGCCCTGGCGAAAGAAGAGTGCGCGGGTCTAATGGGCCAGGAAGTGGCAGTGGTTTACATAAGGCATTACAGTATATAAGAGCCAAAGAAGGCCACCGAATGCAATGTGTAAGCCAGCATGTGAGTGCTTCTGCGATTCTACCAGTCTTCTTTATGACTGTACATGGGGTGATTCCATTCTCCAGAAAGCAAACACAGTCCGAGGGGTTCATGGACAGTTTTCCGAAGCGGCCTCAACTGTTCCAACGGCACGGCCCCCTTTGGAGGCCAAAGCAAACGGTTGGTGTGAGCCTTGGAATCCATGTGCAAACGGATGGACTGCAACCATAGCAGGCAATGCAACTGCAACCATGAGCAAGCAATGTATCTCATTGTCTGGATCGCAATATTGATTCTCGTTGTTCTCTGGTACCAGAACTACAGTATATGACAATGACACACACGCACAATATCACAAGAATTACTGTAGTGAACAAACAGAGGACAGGCCCCTTTCTTCGATCATATCAATCTCCTCCCGCTGGGCGTCAAAACGTTGAAGTACCGAGGACGTACTGAAGTGAACAGAATGTCCTGACAAGAAGTTGTGCCAGCATGCTTCCTATGCATGTTCTTCTCAATGACGATTGACAGTCTTCATCCATATCACTGTCTAGCAGATCAAAGATTTACAATAAGTAAAATGAGAAGCGACGAATCTGCCTTCAAGCGTGCCTGACGATATCAACACTTCTCCATACACATCTAGCCAAAATGTTTTAGTCCCGCAGAACCCCCATGACCTGTGGAGGCTGGTCATCACGCGCGCACCAAAAAGGGGAAACGAAGAACGCCTATGAAGATCAAAGAAGGTTTCTCGTCCCGTTCCTCGGACGGCCTCCAACCTAGTTGCGATGGCCTCCAACCTACGTAGTAGCCATGGCCTATGAAGCCCAAAGAAGGTTTCTCATGTCCCATTTTCCGGACGAACTTTGAACTGCCCTGGCCAAACTGGCACTAACCGCTAGATCCTCACATCCCAACTCTTGCCCAAAAGCCCAAACCAAGAAAAATGACTGGACCGCAGAAAGACACTCAAACATCACAGCAAGGCACCCAATAGTTCCCGAGGATGCCACGGTGAAAGGGATTCACAGCGCCGCTAAAAGCGCCCTTGATCTGCTCGTAGGTGGTCTGGTTGGTACCTGCTGGATCCCTCGCACCCTTTTCTCCGGTATCATATCGCTGTCAGCTGAATGTCAGAATAAGATGCTTACAGTATCTTAAAGTGACAATAAAGGGCAGCATTCTTCCGGCATACCCATAAAAAAGAAACGGTTGGAAGACAAAGGACATGCATACCTTGTCATGAATGGAACGGATCGGGCAGAACTGTCCTCAGACATCGGTTGACCGATTCGGCAGGTGGGCGCACAGACCAAATAGTTGTGATACGCACAGAGCCCAAAGGTGAACCAAACAATGCCTGACGCGCAACGGCAGGAGTGAGTATCCAAGGATCCACTCAAGCTGCTCTAGCTTCTAGCCACCTCAAAGGTGTGTACAAGGGCCTTGCTGCAAGGGTTCATACTCACAGCCAACAATGTTCCGAAACCTTATTTTGATGATCCTCTCGCAACTCCGAGATGCTAAGCCTCCAAGCATAACTATATAAATTCTTGCTCAACCAAGCCGAAATCATGTCGGGGTGGGTGAAAACCTGCACAACAAAATCACGTGGATGTTCGCATCACCACACCCACACCCGCGGCACCTAGGGCATAGATGGACAAAACAGCTGCCATTGGCGTAGACAGTAGTGCCTGTTCCGCACAGCCACAAATGCATAGAGGTCCCAACTATATAGATGAAATGGATTACTTTCATGCCTACTTATACTAAATTCTTGAGGTCACTATGCTGAGACAACCTGAACCTGCTTCTGGTTGGCTCCGTGCTCCCTTGTACCAAGCAGACCTGCATGCAAACCTGCATGCAAGCCATATTATGGAGTTGTTGCCCAAATCAATTGTCCAGAAACTTGTGGTGACTCAATCACTTTGATGGTCTTCATGAGGTGACAGACTGCCGACAATGCTTCTACAGGGCTGCATAGACATGTAGCACTCCGACCTAATCCAAAACTGGGTACCAACACCAAGTCCTTTTCTTCAAACACGTCTTCGTATATAACCTAATCTGCGGCCAAGAATCTGGCGTGGACTAAGAAGGGTCCCTTTTCATAGAAAGTTGACCCTGTATGACCTGTATGACAGCGGAATGTAGGAAACATGGGAAACACGCCAAAAATAAGACGCCCAACGCCTGGCCAAAGGCATCCCCTGCGCCAATCTGCGCGTCTTCCGCGATCTGTGAAGATCCTTGGGAATGGGGCATGTGGTGGGTTGTGACCACACCCGTGACTGCCGTGACTCTCCCTGTCGGACTGAAAAGGTCCGATGCTGGTGGTGCCTTAAAGGTCACTATCAACCAGTCTGGAACACATGGATGATGGCGCATCAGTCTGGTCCACTGGAAGTTAAGACACACAAAGTCGTCATGCCACGTTGTCATTGTGCAGCTATACCATCTACAGTATAGATAATTACTGGTCACACTTCCCGCCACATTCTACCTTAGCACTCTGAATCTATTGGAAATACCCCCGGGGCTCACAAAGGCTGCTTGCTGGAAGTCCAAACGAGGTAGCTAAGACTTCTTCTATCCCAAACATTTCAATAACACTCTTTTCATGGCACAGTACAAAAAGGTTTAGATAGATGTGTGCAAACACCTTTCAAACACCTTTTGTTCACAATACCCCTGCTGCTCCTGCCGTCTTTAAACCGGGAAGAGTCATCGCCCATGATAACTCTTCACTCCAAGGGGCGTAAGGCTATCTGTGCCACTGCGGTGGCTAAGACCAGCACGTTGAGAGCACCCGTGGTAGACACGAAGCCATAGAAGAGCCGGTAGTTTCCTAAGAAAAACTGAAGCAAAGTAAAGCATCATGGACACCTGAAACCGGCGGACACCTATACACAAATTTCCTGGCAAATATTTGTGTTGTTCAAGTAGTTCAGGTGACATCCTCAGGCAATAGCCCAATATCTAAGAAGTTGGTGAAGAGAGACAATGCTCAACGTGATCACCCCTACCGCCCACCTAACGAGTCGAAGCACTATTTTCTAAGTTGGTCGTCGAGTCGCATCACTCTGTTACCAGTCGGTTTTCATCAACTGGCAACCAGGGATGCAAATCAAATGCCGTCCAACTGAGTCATACCCTGGGTTGGGTCGGGTGGGCGACTCAGCTGGAGCCAAAATGGCATACGGGGGAGGAAGTAACCTCTACCACACTCATGCATTGTCAACTCCACAAAAATGTGTTCTCTCGACAATGCTCAACGTGATCACCCCTACCGCCCACCTAACGAGTCGAAGCACTATTTTCTAAGTTGGTCGTCGAGTCGCATCACTCTGTTACCAGTCGGTTTTCATCAACTGGCAACCAGGGATGCAAATCAAATGCCACTTGACTCGACACCAACGTCCGTGCCAAATTCCTCCTACCCACTTGCGTCTGACGCGCAGGGATCGTTGGAGGTGTCGGTGTCCTCATGGTCCGACGCTGTGCAGGGTGCGACAGCCGGGCGGGAACCGGGAAAACATTTGCTACAGCGGAGGTGGGCAGTATTGACTGGTATGTCTTTACAGATGCGGTATTCAGCCTGGTTCTTGCCAAAGGGCCAACCGCAACGTGTACGCCACCGGCGTGGGTGGATGTCTAACTTATAGATCAGTGTGATGTGATATCTGCCGCCTTTTGCGGTGTTTAAAAAGTTGACACCTGGCAGATTTTCATCGGGCACACTGAGGTGCACTGAGGCTTCGCAATCTTCCAACATTTGCGATTCCGGAGGCATGAAGGTTGCTTTGCAATCCTTGATGCGTTGTTGGAGTGTGCTGAGTTCCTCCTGGGCTTTGCGCACCGACATGGCCGCGGTCGATTCTAGTGCCAGTCTGTCCAGTTGCGCGACTGGGGCATCTTGGATGTAATGTAAGAACACATCCGACCCCCATCGGCCGAACAGCTGAATTCGCCACAACTCAATGTTGCGCATGGCCATGAACCGGGCTCCGGTAACTCTGGCGCTGTGTCCAGTGTACGCTCTTGCCCCGTTGTCGTGCACCGTGGGCAACTGAAGCCGTTTGGCGATTGCCTCAAAGGTATCGGCCCAACCTTTCTTGGTGGATTCCAATCCGTCTTCAGCTGGGAAAAGAAGTTGTTCGGGTCCGTCCGGCAGCCTGTCCAAATGTTCCAAAAGTACGTGGAAAGGGCACAACCTCTTGGTGTGCACGGAGCATGCGCACGTATGTGACCGCGTCGCTCCAAGGGCTGCCTGATCCGTCTTCGAACTAGGTAGTCGCCATGATGCTTTGAGTGTGGCTATCTCGATGGTCACGTGTTTGCGGCGTGCCCGAGATGCCTCAATCTCACGCAAAAGCCACCATGATGCGAGTATGGTCGCTGACACTGGCTGTGTTGGACCGCCTGGGGCTAGAGCACTGTCGCCCAACAACTCGGCTACCTGTACCAAAGGGAGGTGAGCCGCCTGCTTGGGATGTCCAATGCCGCGCTTGCAACTGCGCACGGCGGACCGGTAGGCTTGTTGAAGCTGGCAATCCCATGGCTGACCGAGGGCAATGTGACAGTTCTTCGCAGTGTCCAGGTAGAGCTGTGCTGATCGATACCCTCCAGTCTTGAGAGCCCCCATGACGGTGAAGATCATGTTTGGGTCCAAGTGGAAGGGGTCTGACCATCCTGCGGTCACGGCCAGCGTAGCCCAAAGTTTCTGACGTGATGCGGCCGGACCTTTGGTCGACTCCGCCATGATGTCTTTCGACAGCTCCGCTCTGCATGCTTGCGGGTCTTGTGCCGCGGCGATGGCTGCCTCTGCCGACCCTCTGCCGTAAGGCTTGGGTTCTCCCGAGCCCCTGTCCCGTGGCCCTCCGCCCGGAGTGTGGGGAGCAGTGACCGATGCCGCGGAGGCCGGCCTGTCTACAATGGTCAGGGTCGGTGGAGTTAAGGCAAACCCTTCATGCAGGAGTGTCGGTCTACTGCGCGCCGTTGGGGGCACGCCCGGGTATGAGGCGAGTGAGCGCTTGAACGGCATGCTGCAGCGCCGAGCGAACAGTCTCGGATCGCCTTCCCCCCCGAAGAAACCGCACCGGAAGACAACTTAGGGGTTCGAGCGACTTGGACAAAGTCTCCCTACCTTCCCGCCCGGTGGGTTCAGCCTCGCCTCTTTCTCAGGTCTCGGTCCGCGTCAGCCACGTTCTTGGCTGTCTCAGAGGTCTGCCTTCCAGAAGCTGGGCTCGAGGCTCACCGGAGTGTGCTCGACGGACCGCAGGTATTCTGGAAACTTCGGAGCGACCGGCGCCGTCTGTCGGGACAGAGCGTCTGCCTCTAAATTGGTCACCCCTGGGATGTGGCAGAGCCAGTGAATGCGATATGACCTGAGGGCTTGGTCAATGGCGAATTCGCGTGCCAGTGCATTGAGTTGGGATGAGGCGGCTCCTCCCTTAGCCAACATGCACAGCACGCCCATGTTATCTGAACGGGCCCGCACTGCGGCTGAGTGTCCTAATTGCGGCAGCCACAATCGGAAGGCCACCAGCAAAGCAAGACCTTCCCATAGAGTGTTGTATTTCGAACATCCCGTGACAGCTTTAAATCTGCTCAGCGCGTTGGCTGGGATGTTGCTGGAAAAATATTTCGTCGCCTGACTCCCCACCTTTAAAATCCCGCCAATTCCCCAGGGGCTGGCGTCTGTGGTGATCTCTGCGACGACTTGTGGTTGGTGGCTCTCCAAAACTCTGCACAGCGGAGCGGGTTTTCCACCTAGCAACGCCCGGATCCATTTCAATGCCGGGCGGATCCTTCGGGTGTGCACCAGCTTTCCGGGAGGTCGAAATTTCCCCTCTCCGTCGTTCGCAGGTATGCAACTACCCAAGGCTGCCCATATTGACGACAGGAATGGGCGGAGGTGTGTTACCAGCCCGGCTACGAAAGACAAGGAGCCTGCGTAGGAGCGCAACTGCTTCCTGCCAACCACCGGTCTTTTGAGCATCAGGTCCGTGGTCTCCCTCAGCTTCTCCACCTTGTCAGTGGGTATGGTGACCTTGACTGTGCTCGCCTCGTCGTCCAGCTCGAGCCTGGCTCCGACCCAGTTGATGGCCTTGCCTCCTTCGGCCTTTGACAGCTTCACGGGGAAGCCTGCTATGGCGAACCACAGCATCAACGATGTGAGGTCGAGGGCAGCCTGCTCGAGATCGCCGGCCAGCACGAAGATCGGGTCGTCTACATAGATTTGTGCGCTGGCTTTCGGAACGATGGCTGCACAAGCTCTCCCCAGCCATGCGGCGAAGCGGCCCCAGATTGTTGGGGAACTCCCAGCCCCAAACACCAGGGTGTCGAAGACAATGAGCTCCATGCCTTCCTGGGTTTTGGCCTTTGGCCGTGCTGCGACCGTGAACCTTTTGTCTGGTCCCGCCGGCGCGTTCATGAAGGCGTCTTTGACATCCACTGCCGCCAGCCACAGTTGGCGTCCATCTCTGTACACTCGCACGGCCTGTTGAGTCACATCGAGCAACCGTGGGAGGATGATTCTTTCGCCTTGGTGGCAGATCTGGTTGGCCCGGGATTCCTTGAGGTCCCAAATGATTCTGCTCTTGCAGGTATGGGCTCGCTGTACCCCAGTGGTGCTCCATGATCCAACCATTGACATAAGTTCGTGGTGTCTGGATCTTGAGTGGCTGTTCCCCAGGCCTCTACGATGTTTGCCTCTAGTGGGGTGTCTGCCTTGGCCGTCCTGTTTCTCGGAGCGTACGGTCTGCCCAGAGCTTCGGCCACCTTGACTCTCAGCCCGGTCACGACCTCTTCCGGGAATGGGCTGGCCACTCGACCGGTGAGTATGTCGCGACCGATGGCCGTAAGTTCCGGTGAGGCCCTCTGAGTCTCTTCGAGGATTCGCCGCACCATTGCTCCCGGCCCCTTCATCGATGGCAGGCGCTGGACCGCCAAATGCGGGTTTCGCATCCCCCCGATGGCCACCCGGTTCTCCTCCTCTCTCTGAGTCGGTGGCCGGAGAGTGGAGGCGTCAGGAACCGAAGGTGGGTCTCAGAGCATCTCCTTGCGGAGCTGCTCCATCTTCCACTTGTCGTCGACGTTCTTGTGGAAGGCGACCGCGAGGATCTTGCTCAGGAGTTCCGTGTACTCGCCCTGGGACTTCGAGGCTCTCTGCATCTTGCCGTCCACCTGTTCCCACCTCTGTACGGTCGGGTTGTGGGCTGCCTCGAAGGTGGTGCCGTCCTCTCGAGTCCATACTTTCTTCTCGTGGTTGCACCTTTTGTCCTTCAGGGCGGACAGCTCCAACTTCTCTGTGTAGAGTTTGGTCGGCTTGGTGGTCTCGAGGCCAGTGATGCATTGGTCGAAACGTGTGATGTCGACCCCTTGCCACCTTGGCATGTCCTCGATCCGGGGCATCATCCAGAGTGACGGCTTCCCTGGTGGATGGTCTGGATTCTCTAGACCCCAAGGCCTGACCTGCTGATGGAGCTTGTGTGCCACTTTGTAGGAGCGATGGACCAGGATGTTGGAGTCCCTCAACTGAGCTGCTTCAGCTTTTGTCGGGTCTGGGATGCCGGTGATGTGGTCGATGGTTCGGATCACCCGAGGCCCCGGCGGCTTCTCTCTGAGAGGTGAGAAGGTGCCACAGCGCGTGGCGATCCACCCGGCCTGAAAGAACTCGGCGTCCAGGTCTTTCCAGGCTGCATACCAGCCACCCGAGTCTGGCCATTTGGTGGGCGAGGTCGCCTTCCCTAGATCTTCCGGAAAAGACGATCAGCATCCGTGGTTTCTTGGAGGTTTCACCCACGGTGCTAGACCACCAGCCGTACCTCCTGGGAGGTTCCTTCAACGCCACGACTGGCCTGAGCCCTGCTGACCCGCCTCCCTGAGACCCTGAGGCGGGAGGCGAAGGGTTCTCGCTCGGTTGCGATCTGGAAGACTCGGCCGCCGACTCCTCTTCGTACACCAGCTCTTCTTCTTCCTGGTCGTCGACGGCTCCTTGCCGACTTTCTTCGGCCTCCTTCCTTTGTTTCTTTGTGGGCGGCGCCTCTGGCGACTTCGGGGCTGCCTTCCTCTTGATGGCCAGGCCCGGAATCTTCCGAGGGCCCGCAGCTTGCGCCGATGGAGGTACTTTCTTAGGCTGTTTCCCTCCCGACGCGTTCAGGTCAGCTGCACGCGAGCCGGTGGAAGTCTTTCCCCCGGCCGCGATTGCGGGTCAGTCCTTCTTGGCCCCAGTGCAATGAACGCCCTGGCGCGGACCTAGGCACTTGTTGCACTGATGGGATCTCTTGGACTTGCATTTGCCCTGGGCTTGCTTCGACCCGCACTTGTCGGCATTGTAGAGGCGGCAAATCTCGACACCACGCCGGTTGTGCGAATAGGTGCCATCAGTCCCCTTCCGGGACTTATCTTCGCCCTTGTAGGTCCTGTTCGACCGGCCTGCCCTTCTTCTCTTCGCCTCGCCATCCGGTAGCTCTTCATCTTCTCCTCCCGTAGGGGCCCGCTTCGAGCGTGCCAGAAACAGGGTAGTTGGTGTGGTGAGCTCCTTGTTCCAGAACTCTGTGTCCTTCACGGCGTAGGCATAGCAGGCGTTCCAGGGCGCAGCTGCTGTGAAGCCGAAGGTGGGGTTGGCGTTTAGCTCCCGCCTCAGCCTTTCGAGCTGCTCAGAGCGCATGCGGCTGTCGGCCTTGCAGATGAACGGCCATGCCTCCTCTCCGAATTGGGTGACAAACCCCCGGATGTGTTCGGCATAGGCATCCAGCCGTTCAGCCTCCGCCGCCTCTAGCAGGAGGAGTGCAGTCCTGTAGCACCTCCAGGCTTTGTACCATTCATAGAAGGAGCCAGGTCCAGGCTGCTCTTTCTTGGCCCATTCGCCCGTGGAGACGTTGAGGCTGTAGCTCTGGTCTGGCGGCGAAGGAGGCGCTGACCATGCGGGCCAAAGATCGAGAAGTCGGCGTACGGGACCGCGTGTGCCGCTAGGACCTGTGACTCAGTGCGGCCAACTGATCACGACTCACGTCGGCATCCACACTGGGGAAGTCTCCATAGCGGTTGCGGTAACGCTCGTACATGCCTGTGACTTCAGCATCACCCAACGGCTGAATCTCTGCGTCCAGCGTCGGCTCAACTTCAACTTGCGAGCCTGTGGACCCCCTGGTGCGGGTGCCGGAGCCCCTCCCGCTGCGGGGAAGGGGGCTGGAGCTACCGCCGGAGCGGCCGCTGCTGGATCGCCTGGCAGGTCGATGGGTCTCCCCGACCGTAAGCAACAGACTCTCCTGAAGGATTCCAGCCGTGCCTCCTCGACCGGAGTGAGAACTCGAAGCGGCGGCCTAGGGTCTCCTCCGTCTTGGATCTGTAGGCCTGCCACCACCCGATCCCAAGTCGGCCTGGGAATGAGGGCGATCTCTCGTACCCGTGCGGGTTGTCCCAAGGCGGCTCCTTCCACCCCGCACCAAGCGCGAGCCTCCGCCAGGTTGGTGATGGCTTGAAGTTCACCTTCCGTGGGGTCCATGGTTCACCACCGGGCCTTCGTGGAGTAGAGGTGCTCCTGGCGTGGTAGATCTCCTTCGTGCACGACGGCCCTGTGTCGGGCGAGACCCTTCTGTGTTGCGAAGGGTGAACCTCTTGTAGCCGTTGAAAGCTACGCCCACTCGGCGCCTCTTGTTCACGAACTTGATGGCGCGCCGCGTCAGTCGTTCCCAGGCGACCAGGGCTTCTTCACCGGCCGTAGTCCGGGGGGCAGGTGCACGACAGCACGCCCACCCGACTGCGATGCCGGCAAAGAGTGTCAGTGCCCACACCACACCCAAGATGACCAGAGGATCAAAACCTCCCTGGTCCTCGGGGATGGCAGAAACCACCAACTCGCCCATGCCCACCTGTGGTTCGACTCAGCTGGAGCCAAAATGGCATACGGGGGAGGAAGTAACCTCTACCACACTCATGCATTGTCAACTCCACAAAAATGTGTTCTCTCTACAAACAAAGTCCTTATTCAAGCCTGGCATTGCTACACCAACTCCATTTTCCTGCAAATGTCTCTCT